TGTTTGAGCATGCCGTGTGCTCCTTGTGTTCTGTTGCACTGCTGGGCTCGACTCCCCTTGTGCCTCTCTTGCTGCTGCTGTGTGGGTCCTGCGGTGTGGGCAGGATGGGGCTGTGCTCTGGGGGCTGTGGGTCCTGCGGTGTGGGCAGGATGGGGCTCTGTTCCTTGGCTTCTGCTTCGGTCTGTCGGTGCAGTTTGGGATGGCAGCTCCGTGCCCGGAGCCTGCTCCTCCCCTGAGCTCCCCCCCTCTCCCGGCAGGTTTGGCACATGGAGGAATCCAGAATCTCAGCTTCAAGAAGAGTGCACATGACTTTGAACGGAGCTTTTCCTGATAGCCCACTACACATTGTATAACCTTACACCTTGATTGAATGCCTTTGGTCACTAAGCTTTGCGTCTGACTCTTCCTCCTTGTATCGTGTTTTTATGTCTTTTTAAACTCTACGCCGTAAACCTCAACTCTTTTTTGGGTCAAGTTCTTCATCTTATTTTTGTTCCAGGTGTAGCCTGCGTTTCGCCAGTAGCACACAGATGGGCTGACCTTAGCTAGGAGTCGTTTGAACAAAAGGAAACCTGGTAGTTACTCATTTTGGTGCAGATCTCATGGTGGTTTCAAACCAGAAATTGCTGCTGCTGCTGCAAAAGCCATAGCAGAGGGAGGCTGCCGAGGCCGAATGGATGCGGAGAGCTGGGACTGTGTGTAGGTCCCTGCCTGGAACCGGGGCACTGAGGGACAGGGGGGGACACCGTGGGGATGCTCTGCTCGCTCGGCCGTCCCACGGTGAACCTTCCTCCTGCACCTCAGCCCACGTTCAGATTGGGTTTCCATCAGTGCTCCTCCACACCCTGAACGTTCAGAGCTTACACTGAGCTTAAAGATAAAGGAGAACAGCAGAGGGAAGGTGCTGCCTCCAGGGGAGGTGGTGGGGAGTCAGCTCGGAGACACCCCGTCCCCTCTGTCCCCCCTGGGGAGGAAGCACCAGCCCCAGTAGTGCCCGCTCTGAGCACACGGGACGTTCTCCACCTGATGCTGGTCATCGCCGCTCGCCTGCTCCCATCCGATGCAAAGCTTCCCGCTGCTCCGCCTCCCCCCTGCCTGCCCCTGCCTCGTGACGTGCTCAGAGCGTCCCCGCTCCCTCCTGCGCCGCACAAAGGTACCACTTTATTCTTGCAATAAAAACGCTTTATGCTGGCTTTTCTCAGCACCGTGTCCTGGAGGTTTTTCCCTCGCCCTTGTCTATCGCTCAGCACCGCGGGGGCCGGGATCGCAGGGTGCTGTGGGTGTTGTGCCAGGGCTCCGTGCCAGGCTAATGAGGTGCTGGGGGTGCTGTGCTGGGTTCATGGGGTGCCGTGGGTGCTGTACCAGGGCTCCATGCCATGCTCGTGGGGTGCTCTGAGTGCAGTGGATGCTGTGCTGGGCTTGCAGGGTGCTGAGCCAGGGCTCCATGGGGTGCTGTGGGTGCCGTGCTGGGCTCGCCCGGTGCCGTGGCAGCACGAAGGGCTCTGGCTGTGCTGGTTCGCTTTGGTGTGAGGCTCTGGTGCTTGGCTGTGGGAGCACCGGGGGCCGCCCGGGGCTCG